CATTTTTTGGGAAGCTTTTATCCCATACGTCTGTCTCCTCTCCGTGCTGTGCCTGTGTTTTCTTCTTTGTACGAAGCTCCCCTGGTGACATCAGTGGGAAAAAATACTAGGACAAGGGAATGAGTTATCAAGCTGCGACCCCAACTTCATTACTGATTGGCGGACTCTTTTAAGATTAGATCAAACCAGCCTGAAGAGCAACATGCTCAATGTCTGAATATTGTTTGCACTTCAAGCTGTGCATTTTAGGCAGAGAAATCAAGTGTCTTCTACTAATTATGAGACTGTGCTTAACAACATGGGGTTGGTGGACATCATTGGGATTCATTTCAAGATTAAAATAAAATCTGATTAAATCAGGTTTAACCGTTCTTTATGAGTGACAGCAGACCTTCAGGACAGAGCTAAGAACTTTCTTCTTGGGATCCCATTAAATAAAAACTAGATCTTCCAGGTTATTCTTATGCTCATTTGTCACCTGACATACACAACGTTGCTGAAATTAATCCCTACCTTCCATTAAATATTTAAATGCTATTGTGCAAGATATATACATAGTATTTTTAGAGAAGCTTTTGGTAAAATATTGCTACATTGATTTGTACTGTACATACATTGTAAAGAGATATAAAAATGCCCTCAAAGTAAAGGTATCAACCAGTGTTGTATCTACAAGCAACATGCTATGTTACATTTTTAATGACTTTGTTTCAAGTATTCACCCTGAAAGAGACAATTGTTAATTTGGCTGAACACATTAAACTGTAACAGATAGTTAATTTAAACAGTAAACTCTTCTAGGGGCATAGAATTGAAAATAAGCTGATGCCTGCACAACTGTTTCTGTAAGGGCAAAGACTGTAATTCTTCATAATATTGTGAAGGCTATGTCCCACAGTTTAACACAGTATGAACACTTTTTACACACATCAACAATGCAATGATTTAAAAAGTCTGATAAGTGTTGTAAACCCTTCTAACGGGTATGTTGTTGTAATGTAACATGCTGTGTAGTAGCTGCCAGGATTTGGTTGTGGTTAGAGGATCCATATGCAGAGGCAGGGAGGCAGAGGTGAGTTTCTTGTGGATTTAATAAAGTGTAAACAAACAACTGAGGCAGGAACCCAAAAATCCAAGAATCAAACATAAAAAAAAAGTCAAACAAGCCAGAAACCAAGGAGACTTCAGGGGGAAACAATCACGACGAGGTAGACACAGTGAGACAGAGTTGGAGGAAGTTAGACGAGGAACCAGCACTGAGGAACTGCACAAAGAGTGTATTTATGGGAGACTGAACAAAGAGAGGACTAACGAGCAGATTGGGAGCAGGTGTGAAGAGAGCAGACAGGAAAGGAGCTAGTGAAAAGGAGAACACAACGGCAGCAGAGGGCAACAAACCCCCCCCCCCCTGAAAACTGAAAAATAATCAGAAAACACAACAAAATAAGAATTAAACCACTGAAACTAGAAAAGATGGAGCAAAGTAAAACTGAACTGACAGTAGCTATCTGTTCTGCAGAATGCTTCAGCAATACCAGCTAGCTACTCTATGTTAAACCAATAATTTTGCAGTAATGTTTTAGGTCATTAAAGGATGTCACACTAAAACACTTTACTGTAGGAACTTTCTTTGTGAAAAATTATGTTACATACTTTGAGTTTTTGCCTCTAGACTAAAGTTCAGTCTAAAACATATATGAACATATAGCACTTAGTTGTTGTTGGTAAAACAAACAGTAGTGCAGTTGGTCACTAACAAGCCTGCTAAGATCACATGAGCTAGCGGTCCTACAATCCATTTGTTTTAGTCTAACTGTCTCGATAGGTTTCAAATTATGTCCAAATCAAACCAGTATTTCCACGTATTAATTAGGTGTATGTATTACTCAGCCAGTGAAAGGTATCTGGTTACCTTATTAATAGTTTAAAGGTCCTTATTTAGAAATGGTTTCCAATACTGCTTGATATACTATTTTTTTATTTACTGACACAATATGAAAAATAGGCTAGGCCAAATGGAAAGCCATGTTTCTTTAACTCTAATAATAATCAGAGGTGTCAAGTAACGAAGTACAAATTCTTCGTTACTGTACTTAAGTACACTTTTTAGGTATCTATACTTTACTCCATTACTTATTTTTCTTCCTACTTCTGACTTCTACTCATTACATTTTCACGCAAGTATCTGTACTTTCTATTCCTTACATTTTTAAAACAACTGTTACTCGTTACTCTTGGCTTCGGTTTAATGTTTATAAATATTTATTTCGCAAAATGTCATCCATGTCATTCACGTCATCCAATGCAGATCATTGGCGTCATCCACATCTAGTGAAAACTAGTGTAATTGGATGAGTCATATAATGCAAACACTCATTGGTTAGCTAAAGGAAATCAGAAGCAAGCAGGTGTTTTTCAAACTGCAAACGTGAATTGTCTATGCCATGCTACAATGTCGGATTCAGAAAAAGATGTTGAAATGTCTGAAAGGTCGGACACAGGCGAGAGCGTATCGGGAGACGGAGATGGAGACCAACAAGACCTCCCTCATCCTTGGCCCTATCTCAAAGAATTATTCGAAATAGTCAAAAAAATTGAGCTTTCAATTCATATAGTGGCATTTGGTTGTTTTTTCGTAAAGGTTATATACTTTAAGTCAGATGTCTTAAAAAGGGGTCCGCGACCCCTAGGGGGTCCACGGAGGTACTGAATAGGCGTTGCGAAAGTTTTGGTTAATTAGACTTTTTTTTACATTCCCCTCTACAATTCTTTCCACTAACTGAAATGTATTAAAATACACATTAACATGAATTCAACACACTGGAGTAGACGATGTCTTTCAGTCATCAATGCAAACATTCAGCGACAAATGCAAACATTTGATTTTTTCTTTTCTGGAATCTGCTTAAGTACCTCTTTTTGGTATCCATCTTCGCTAACACAGGGTACGTAACGGTTATAGTTTTAATTGACGCTCTGGATTACCCATAATTCCAAGTCGTATTGTAAAAAATAAAATACTCAAATACATTGTTCTTTTAAGCTCTTTATTTCGGTTTGAAACATACATCGAGAGGATTCAGTTGAGGTGGCTCGGACATCTTCTTCGGATGCCCCGTGGACGCCTCCCTCGGGAGGTGTTCCAGGCACGTCCCACTGGGAGGAGGCCCAGGGGACGACCCAGGACACGCTGGAGAGACTACGTCTCTCGGCTGGCCTGGTAGCGCCTAGGGCTTCCCCCAGCAGAGCTGTAGGAGGTGTCTGCGGAGAGGGAAGTCTGGGAGTCTCTGCTTAGTCTGCTGCCCCCGCGACCCGGTGCCGGATAAAGCGGCAGACGAAGACAACGACAACATACTATAGGAGTGCATTTCTTACCAACCTCCTAATGAACTATACAGTTATTAACATAGTAATTAAAAGTACCACTGTCTGCTTTGCTATTGGTGTCGTGCTTGAATAGCTCACCATCTTGTTGAAATCTGGCATGTGTTGGGGTATAAATAAGGTCCGGTCAGTTGATTTAGTGTCAGCTGGGTTTGAGAGGAATTTTTTGTACCATTACATTTGCAAAGAGACGTCCTAGTCCACAATTGCATAGGGGGCCTACCAGGTGTCAGTGACGGAGCCCCTAAGAGGTTGGGGGCCCCTGAGCAACTGCAGTCTCTGCTTACCGATAGTTACGCCATTGACTCCATCTGTAATAGAGTGGCTATAGGACCAGTTTGATACAACACAGTTTCATACAATATAGCCTATATAATTAGGGGGTCCCTGCTCCATCTCGCCATCAGTTTAGGGATCCTTGGCCTGGAAAAGGTTCAAAACCCCTGCTTTAAGTAGTTTTTGGAGCACATATGTTTTCACTTTTACTTGAGTAAACAGGTCAAGTTGATACTTAAACTTTTAACAGAGTGTATTTAAACTGCAATATCTACACTTCTGCTTAAGTAATGTGTGTATGTTTGACATGACTGATAATAATAATAATAATAATAATAATAATAATAATAATAATAATAATAATAATAACAATAATAATAATAATAATAATAATACATAATTAGTATTATATAATGAAACATGTTCTAGAGAAATTTGTCAGAAGAGCATTGCTTTTTTACAACCACATCTAGATAGTGGAAGCAAAACCATGTTGACAACATAAGATTGATGAAATCTTAGTAATTAAGGACTTGCAATGAGGATTTTTTCTTCAATTATAAGTTGAGGAACATTCGCTGCTTTAGCTTTCAATCCATAGTTTCCCAGCTATATTGTTTCAGAGAACTATTTAATATCAAGAATGAAGAGTTAATCTTTGTCTATGAGTTTTTACAGTTTATTAATGAACGTTTGATTTCAGATACTATATACAGTAATTTTGTTTTGCCTTTCTCGTGTTTTTGTCCTGGAAGGAGACACAGAATTGTTTAATTTCAGACCAGCTTTGCATCTGTCATTTTCTTCTAGGGTGCAAAATAAGGTGTTTGTATACAGATTTTCTAAAGTCAAACTCAGTTCTTCCAAAATGCCAATAATGTATAAATCTCAGCACAATACTGAGTGACATAAGTTAGATCAACTGAGCACTCAGTGTTGGTCTCCCAGGTCCAGCAGCATTTAATCATGGTTGACAATAAATGCTGCAACTAATGATTATTGTGCAAATTGATTCATCTGTTATTTTTTCGATCAATCGATTAGTAATCGGATAGCCAAAGGTTCCTAAAAGAAGATTTTTTTACTCAAAAGTTTTTTTTTATTGAATGCAAAATGTTTATATATATATATATATATATATATATAAGATTATTTCAACAATCGATTATTATTATTATTGTTATTAATATTATGATGATGATGATGATGATGATGATGATGATGATGATGATTATTATTATTATTATGATCATATTTTTAGTTGTGCTGCTTCCAGTGCGCCTGCCTAGTGGATGTAGTGACTCGCTGCTGCTGTTTGATTCGCTGCCTGTGAAAACACAGCCACTCTGCTGCTCTCAGAATTCAACAGGCAACAAAGGAAGAAAGGAAGAGGCCGTGAGCTACAAAGAGCTAGCCGACCTAGGTTAAAAGATGTCTCACGAATGGGGCCGTTTTCACTCTCCAGTTTCTGCCCTTGTTTAAAGACTAGCAAAGTCCGCCAATGGCCGTGTTGTTATACTTTGTTGTAGTGCAAAAGTGAATGGAAGGGACGGCGGCGGGGATGTTTGCGACATAAAAACGCTACTAAAGCTAACTGGTATTGGTAGCAAGGTAGCACTAGCTAGGCTAACGTTAGCCAACAAGGAGCAAACATCTGACCGTCGCGTTTTCATTGATCATCCCCTGAAAAAATATGAATTTCTTTGGACAATAATTGAGCCAGGTCCATCAAGGTGAGATTATATATTTTCTACTTTTCTATAAGACGTCTAAAAATTACTTTGCACAGCTTTGCTAACAGCAGTTTGATATTTGCTTCCGCGCTCTCTTTACATTTGTGAAATAACGAGCTTCTCTTTGTGCAATTCTTTTTAGTGGTATGTATTTATTTTTATTTTTTTAAGTGTAACTGGTGGGGAAATTCTTCTAATTTAAACTTGCAACATAACTGGAAAGCTAAGAAGCAAAGCTAACCTCTAAGCATGCTTTGTGTCCCCAGGCCTTTTCATGTCAGGGCATACCTGGCTAACTTTAACGGTACATCTATAATCATACAATCGTTTTAATGTTTTTTTTTTATCATCTAGCACAATTTTAACAATGCAGTTGCTTGTTTTAATTAAATTTTTTTCATATGAATTTGCTTCTGTTTATTTTAACAGGAAGAGTAAGGTGGTGGAGGAGGTGGAATCTGACCCATCCAACTGAGTCACCATTTTCCTGCAGATAATGGTGAGTAATCAGATTGAAGCTGTTGATTATCAGTTGGCTCTGTTTAAGAGTCTCACGAGGCAGACATATCTTTGTGGTTGTAGTCCTGCTTGTTAAAAGCGGACCTGACTGTTGAAAAAGTATACAATTCTGACATTTTTCTATGGACTTGTTTTGCTCTTTGGCATTTTTGATGCAAGATAAGCAACTTTAGTGTGGATTTTAAGTACCTGTCATGTTCTCCAAACCTAGATGGATTTTGCAAAAAAATTTTGTCAAGAATTGTAATTTATCCTTGCCTATAGTGTCTTTAAAATCTTCAAACTGCTATAAGCCTCACTAACCTCTTGACAGCTTTTATTATCTAGTGATCATGACCTAAGCACACTGAATCTGATTTTGCATCTGATCCAACAGAAAACTGTCTGACAACGTTGACAGGATTTTCTGAAAAGGGGCTTGCATAGCTCCAACTGAGATAGACCCCCCCCCGGGTCTGTTATTGTTTTCTGTTTTTAAACTGGTTTCTTTTCTCCTACAGTGTTTAGATTCTAATCACTGCTGCACTTTATAAATGGTAATTGTTAATTTCACTTTTATAAGCTGTATGCAATGGAATTTCGTTTTATACATATTCTGTGCATGCAAAATGGCAAAGTTTGTCTAAGTTTTAGTCTGACCAAGCAGCAATTCAGCAGCATTTTTATGGGTTTGACAGGAAAAAAGACGTTGTTACAATGTAAAACACATCCGCTTTGGGGAAATTACAAAGTAAAATCTATCAATCACAGGGAAAGCAGTCAGGTTTGGAGTTGCAGAGGGACAGACCTGTGCATAATCAATGAATGAAACATAAAAAAAAAAATAGTTCAGGAGGACAGAAAACGGATAAAATAGTGATATCCTCTTTGAGGCTCACAAAAACAGAAGGAAAGTAGAGAAAAGCACAGCTTACCACTCTCCTCGAGACAGAAAATATACTTTGACAAATTTCAGGAGGTCAGAAAACTGATGGTGATCTTTGAGCCTCACAAAAAAATCGAGGGGCAGATGGTGCAGGTAACAACAGCTTATCTCTCTCCTCCTTTATGAAAAAAACAAAAATAATATAGTCGACAAACTTGACAGATCCCTCTCTGAGAATCACCTCTCACTACCTCAGCCGGCATATAAACCATCCCATAGCGTTTACTGCTGCGTTTTTCTTTCTTTAAATTTGGTTCCCATTATATTTTTAATAAAGGCCTATAAAAATTCTCGCTGTTGTAGTTTCATAGGTGCTACACAGACCTAAATGGGACTTTGCTCTATAGCTGCACTGTTTTTTGTTTTTTATAACCTTTCATAATCTGTCCTAGTCAAACATAGGAAATTGATAAAATTTCTGGATCTATGAAGTCCTCTCAAATCATCCTTGAAAAGGTCAGTTTAGACTCAGTTTAATCTTGGTGGGTAGAGACCTGTTTCAGGTTCAAAATACTTTTATTCTAAAGTATTTTCTACTTTGTGCATATAGTTGGGCAGATTAAGTTGTTTCTGCAAATGTATCTTTTCTGGTTAGACATAATACATGTTCTATTGTCCTCTTTTAATTTATTTTTTTCCATTACATTTTAATCAGGTTTTATTTTATACCATCTTATCATGTTTTATCTTAGACATATGGCAACACAATTCACTACAGCCTAAGAAAATCCCTGAATTTCTCTTTTTAAGAGTGTTGTTGTATAACTGATATACCTCTTTTAAACAAATGTTTGTTTATGCATATAGTATTAATAAACATACCCTTTTAGCAAAAGCAGGAATTCAAATCTGAGAATTGCAGTTGTTTATATAGTTTCCTAGGAGGCCTTTAATAAATTATCTTTTTGTTTTGAAAATATGAGACATTTTGTGCAGTTATAGCAAAACACTGTGATTTTGTTTGACTTAACTGTAATTTTTTCTCCTTTTTCCTTTTTCTTTCTGTCATCATAATGCTCCCAATGTTTACAATTAAATTATTATATTATCTATCTGTGATGTAGTGTTTCTTGAGCGGTCAGCCGAATTGTCTGATTTGTTGGATGCTGAACATGGATGCATTGCTTCACAGCAGTGAATGAGTCCTTTGCAAACTGCTAATGTTTATGCATTTTCTATGTTCTGCAGCTGCAAAGATATTGTTGCCTTTAGTTGGAAAAAAAACATATTGGATTTTATATTCTAAAGTTTTGCAGGACTGAGTTTTGAAATAAACCCCACTTTACATAGCAAGGTATTTGTGAGACCTTGGGGAAATTATGCTTGAGCTCCAATCTTGTCTTTGGTAAAATCTATCTAATAGGATTTATTTTCTAATTGGAAAAAAACTTGTATAAAACAGTAAATAAAACATTTTATTATTTTGTAACCAACTATAATCAAACTGAGTAAAGTGTGTCTTTTTCTGTCTTCAGGGATTTTTGGATCCGCTGTATGGATGACTTGTTTCATGTGGCCTGATGGAAGGACGTTGTGGATAGTGCTTTCATCGGGATACCAGGAGAGCCGTCCCATGCCCCCACATTGGAGGGCCCGTCAGAATGAAGAAGATAAGTTTTAAGACGATCCGAAAGTCCCTCAACATAAAGGGCAAAGAGGAGGGCGACTTTGTTATGCTCCAGCAGCCTTCAGTGGCAACAGAGTTTTCAAAGGAGGAATCTCTTTTTGGCGGCTGCTACACCAAAGACCTTTCAGCGTGCGATCTCGGTTGCGAGGACGACAAAGGAGGTCAAAACAAAAGTCGATCCAAAAGCGAGGGTCTGATGGGGTCGTTAAAGAGGAGGCTTTCTGCCAAACAGAAGGCGAAAGCAAAGGGTGGCTCCTCGGCTTTGTGTTCGGTGGATGACGACGATGCATTTTCATCCTCTTCTGTGCCCATCAGCAATGAGGTGAAAGCCCAGCGACCGCTTAGATCGGCATCCTTACGGAGTCACCATTATAGCCCCTCGCCGTGGCCTTTGCGACCAGTCAACTCTGACGAGGCATGCATCAAGATGGAGGTTAAGGTTAAAGCTATGGTCCACTCTCCCTGCCCAAGTCCCAATTTAAATGGTGTTCATAAAGAATTTCATAACTTCCAGATGGAAGGGCTTTTTCAGGAACAAGCAGAGTCCATAAAGTATCTCCAACAACCACAAAATGGTGAGCTGCACCTAAACATTGATGAAAATGATGTGCCTGTGGTGCTGGGGTTGACACCCCAGGACTACATCCAGTACACAATGCCTTCAGATGATGGAATGTACCCAGAAGGGTCCCACTCCTTTTGCCTAGATAGCACTACTCCCATGGAGGTAGTGACAGAGGCAGACAACGGGTCCCTCCACACTGAGCAGGGACCAGATGAACACGAACTGGTTAGTGGGTTGCCTGCAGATCTCTTCATGGAAACCTCAGTTAATAGTATTCTTTTAGGTTCTGCCGGGATGGTGCTCCAAAGCTCGCGGGCGGAGGTCCCACCTCCCCTAAGTCCTCTTCTGCCGCCCATGACGAGTAACGCACACATCCCTAGGACTTTTTCTAGCTTCAGCTCCACAGACAGCCAGGTAGCCGAGAGAGTAAGGCACCATCTCAACTTTGACCCAAGTTCAGCTCCCGGAGTCAGTCGGGTGTATGATTCAGTCCAGACAAGTGGGCCGATGGTCGTCACCAGTCTAACAGAGGAGCTTAAGAAGCTCGCAAGGCAGGGCTGGTACTGGGGTCCTATCACACGGTGGGAAGCAGAGGAGAAACTGGTTAACTTGGCCGACGGCTCGTTTCTGGTCAGAGATAGCTCGGACGACAGGTACCTGCTCAGCCTGAGCTTCAGATCCCAGAGCAAAACTCTCCACACACGCATCGAACACTCTAACGGACGCTTCAGCTTTTATGAGCAGCCTGATGTGGAGGGACACACGTCGATTGTTGATTTAATCGAACACTCCATCAAAGACTCGGAGAACGGAGCTTTTTGTTATTCCAGGTCTCGCCTTCCAGGGTCTGCAACCTACCCTGTCAGACTAACCAATCCCGTTTCTCGGTTTATGCAAGTGCGCTCCCTGCAGTATCTTTGCCGCTTTGTCATTAGGCAATATACAAGGATAGACCTCATCCAGAAACTGCCCTTACCCAACAAGATGAAAGATTACCTGCAGGAGAAGCACTACTGAGGAAAACGACAGGGCAGATAGCAGTTTGCACTTTTGTGTTCAGTTAAGATTTTAACACAAGGTTTACAGACAACCACAGTTTGAGACAGTTGGTTCTGATGGTTCTTGATTTATTTTTGTGACCCTGTCCATTCCAGTGTTCTGTCCGGTTGTATTTGCTGGTGTTCAGAAGTTTCTGGATCCAGCAACACGTGTGTCCCTTTTCCATCCAAGGTTCCAGCTTCGCCCCACTCTGAATGCCTCCATTCCATTGACTCTTCCAAGTTCCACCTCAACAAAGTGTCTCCGAAATAAATCCTCCTGCAACCTCGGAGTTTGCAGGAGGATTTATTTCAGAAGCTCTTAGTTTATTATTTCTCTTTAAACAATCGCATGAACAGTTTCACCATGGTTTATATCTGTTTCTGGGGAAATATATCTGTACAGCTGATTTTGTTTGCAGTCAGCTGACTTGGCTTAATAAATACAGAGCGCCTGTCTGCGTGTAATTCAGAATACTGATGTTTTTTCAGCCTTGAGGCATGGCTTGTGATTTAGAAATGGTTAAAAAAAAGATCATATTTTAGAAACCTAAAATGACCCCATTGAGAGTCCAATATGTTTTATCAAATGGTTTGAAAAGAAAACAAGATATGTTGCAAGCACAAACAAGCAAAGAAAGATAATTAAATTTGCTTTTGGCTTCTAGGTTTAACCCGCTCCATAATACTTGCATAGTCGCTTTCAATAGTCTGGGTGGTTTGTTGAAATCCACGGCTTGTCATTTTTTTCAGCTACCTCAAGTTACACCTTTCATTTCTACCCATCAACCTATCGCCGACATGTAGCTAGTCACGCATATTTTTATTTAACACTTTGCGGACTGTTCGTCGCTTTTTAGCCATACTCCAGAGCAGGTCCCCCAAAAAAAGGAGCCACCGGGGCAGCAAAAATGGATGAGTGGGGTGGAGCTGATGGAAAACGGGCATTCATCTATTACAGAAATATAGCTGAGGGAAAAAGCAAAGTAAGCTTAGTTCGAAACAATGAAGTGCAGACATTTGGCAGTTGTGATGTATGATTATATGAACTGTCCAGCTGTGCAAATAGATAGAAATTTCCTTAATTATCTGCAGTGAAGTTGGGCCAGTGAGAAAAATAAAATTCCTTTTTGAATTAAAGATTTGTTGCTTTATTAACTGAAATGTCTTTTGCTGAAATGGTAACAAAAAAAAAATGTTTGCTACAATTGGCATCTCCACAAACTGACTGCTTTTGTACATCTTTTGTCCAACAGCATTTCATTTTTTTTCTGCTTAACTATAGTCATGCAAATTGCAAAATAACATTTTGCAAATTGAAAATTTACATTTAAAACAATGCAAGGTCTAACGTATTTTTTGTCCTTAAGAACGGCGCCCTGAACAATAATTGAAATTCAATTCAGGTTTGTGTTGATGAAAATCCTGTATGGCTAAGTACTAAGTTCGTAACAAAAGAAGTTAACGCTGTGTAGCAAAAGATGTCCGAATTTGGTCAGAGTTGTTTTTAACAGGTCTGAAAATTAGCTTTAAAAAGTATGGCTGCATTTTGTCATTATGCAACTTTTAAGCCAACTGGTACTTCAGATGCTGGATTATAATGTGCTTTTTCTAGAAATGGCATCAACTAAATGAATGGATTAGAAAAATATTGTATCATTGAAACTAACCTTCTGCATTTGAAACTGCAAAATCTCCACTGCAGGTGTAACTTTTTCACTAACGCTTGTCTTGTCTGCATGTAGGGAAAGCTTTAAGATGCGCTGAGTACTCCACATGGGAGAAGGTGTTAAACAGAGAAAAAAAAAAACAGTATCAGAGGTTATAAATATATTTGCCTGCATAAAAGGCCTGCGCTCAATCATTGCACAAGAATCTGGAATCACCTGGAATTTGACCTTAATTAGCGTTAGAGATGCACCGAGAAAAAATGGTTTTGACCAAATTTTTTAAAATCTTCTAGCAGATTTGTATTTCTTTACAAAACAGGAATAAACGTAAGAACATTAAAACGCCCCTCCCTAGTGTTTTTGGCATGAGGGGTAGTCTTATGTTTTCTTGGGAGCTGGGGTGACATCACATGGTATGTGAGACAAGTATTTTATGAAATAAAAAAATGAATGATCTTCAGATTTTTTTTTTTTTTAAAGTGAGCACAGTAAATATTAAAACAGCACCTGGCTGTCTAACATTTCCCAAAGAACATATCCCCTTAACTCAGATTTCCAAAAATGACAGATGGACGTAAGAAACTGTTAAAAAATAATCTTTCTGTACTCCATTCAGCCTTCCTCTCTCTAAGCCTTGGTTACCTGTACATGTACAAATGACTGTTTCCTTTTATCTCGGTGCTTCCCATTTATTTTGAACGCCTTCCATCACAGACTTCCACACCAAATACTGTTAACACCATCTGTTTAATGTCAACGTCTGCTTTTCTAATGCGGCCAAAAAATGAAGGAATTGGAAGTTTCTGGTCATCTATTCCCGGGTCAGGACTGTTGAACATTGCACAGTATTGGGCGTTAGAGGATTTCTCGATGCATCTCTAATCCATAGTGCTAGCCGTACCCAATGCTTGAAAATACACTGACCTAGGAAAGATGTGCAGAATTTTGGGAAAAACAAAATTGGGGAAATCTTGATCAAGGAGTGTCCTCGATGTTGAATGGATGTCGAGGTTTTGACATGTGAAAAAAGTTCAATCAAACCTGCATACCGTCATTAGTGTCTAAAGATCTCAAGGTTTTCGTTTCCTTCCCTCTAATTGCTTTTCATATCCTCTCAAGTCTGTCCTGTCAAAGCTGCACTACCGCATGTTATTTCTATACTCAGCTGATGGCGTCAGAGTAAAGGGAAGAGCACACAGTACCCTACGTAAGTGCTTTATACGGATAATTGACAGGGAATTGTCTCTTTATATGAATGATCACCCTTTTTTATTTTACATCAGTGTCCTTAAAAGTATTGGGAAATGGTCTTTGGTAGGTTTTTAGAGTAGTTTTAGCTGTAGTTAGCTGCAGGCTGTCCGAGGAAGCACAGTGGAAATTAGATAGGATCTTTTAAAAGGTGTTGCATGTTTAAACACTGAGCGATTTAAAGCTTTGAGTTGTATAGGAATGAAGGATTTAAGATGTGTTTTGGTTGTATAGAGAGATCTTTTTTTTTTTGTCACAAATATGGGCTGGACTTTTTTTTTTTTGTACAAGAAATGTATTTTCTTCCTTTTTACAGTGTTTGAGTTATTTCTTGTTTGTGACATTTGCCATCTGGGGGATGGGGCCGTACAAAAGGAATGTACGCTTGTCTGAGGTATCTTTTTTTTATTCTGTCTGCCTGCAGACCAGTTTCTGAAAGCATAGGGAACATAAGGACTACAATGACACATAATTTGCACTTGAACATTTGTTGAATCTCTCTTTGCCCCAGCCTTTCCCTCAGATGGTGATTTATAAGAAAAAGTCACAGATTTGTCATGTGTTTATATAACTGTAAGACTAAAAATGTTTTGTCATATCTGTGATTTTTTTTTTTTTTTTTTTAAGGGGCCACATACCAGCATTATTTCAAAGCTATCCCTAATTGGCTGTCAAGGTATGGAATCACAGCGAGAATGTGGATGTAAATGTATTTTTACCCTCCAGTGTATGCGAGGACATTTTTTCAGACAATGTCAGGCTCCTTCTCTTACACAATGTTTAACCCATCTGAATTGTAATTCCCTCTTAATTTGAAATAATCATCTGATTATGACTCAGAAACCCTTTTCCGATGGTATGTTCATTAAATCCTTCAATGTTTGATTCCAGAGGTTGACGCTTGTTCACACTGCTGATTTGAATTAGTAACAGCTGTTAAGCACTTAACATGCTAAAAAAAAATGTTTTTCTTTTTTTTTTTTTCTCTCATTTGTGCATCTCGGTGAGTGAAGAGAATTGTTTACAGCATCATGTTTGGACAACGCCTTCCTTTTTTCCCCCAATTTTCCTCACATTAAGATATTGGTACAATTGAGAACATTTCTTTAATGTGTTTTACACATTTGTGCTGCTTTCGGATATCCTTGCCTTGTATTTAACAATGGTGGAACTAGAATGCTGTCGCTCTAGATGTATGTATAAATTTTGACTTGGTCGTCATCTTGGGAGAGCGGAGAAAAAAAAAACAATCTGTTAATGACTAGTCAATTAAATGAGAATTAGTATTAATTAGTAGAGCCTCTGTAGAATAACCAGTTTACTCCAGTTTACATTGGTTGTCAACTTTCCAAAGTAGGTAGTCTTTTTGTATTTTCTTTTGGAGAAGAAAAATCAATGATTTATTGCACATTTTGGATACAGTTAGTTTTTTGTATCTGCTGATTATAAATTATAAATAAAACTATATTCTAAAAAAAAGTCTCAAATGCTTGTCATGACATGAAGTTTATTTGTTCTGATACCATGTAGAAACAACTCCTTTTGGAATCCTCCACATAGGGGAGAACGTTTATAGTGTTCTATCCAGGCATCATAATTGAAGGTATAGTGGAAGGAAAAAGTACAGTGAAAGCAACATCAATACACACCACCTCAGAAGATTTTTGAATGAAATGGGTTTTTGAACAGTTTGGAAGATTCACAAGGTTTGCATAGTGATTAAGAGTCACCACCACTATCAGATTCTTTGTTAGGTACCTTAACAAAGCAAGAGGACTTTCCTATTGCTGATTTGTCTTGGAGAAGAAGTTAAATTCAATAATGAAAATCAAGATCTTAGAGTTAGGAGGAAACCTAAAGAGACTGAATCAAAATACTTAAAGGTCCATTATTAAGATAGAAGTGTTTGCTGGTGTTTGTGCATGGTGTTATAATATAATATATAATATATATTATATAATATATAATATATATTATAATATAATATAATATAATACAGGTGCTGGTCATAAAATTAGAATATCATGAAAAAGTAGATTGATTTCAGTAATTCCATTTAAAAAGTGAAACTTGTATATTATATTCATACATTACATACAAACTCATATTTTTCAGATGTTTATTTTGTTTAATTTTGATGATTACAAATGACAACAAATGAAAATCTCAAATTCATCATATCAGAAAATTAGAATATTACTGAAGACCAATAAAAACAAAGGATTTATAGAAATGTTGGCCAACTGAAAAGTATGAACATGAAAAGTATGAGCATGTACAGCACTCAGTATTTAGTTGGGCCTCCTTTGGCCTGTATTACTGCAGCAATGCGGCGTGGCATGGAGTCGATCAGTCTGTGGCACTGCTCAGGTGTTATGATAGCCCAGGTTGCTCTAATAGTGGCTTTTAGCTCTTCTGAATTGTTGGGTCTGGTGTATTGCATCTTCTTCTTCACAATACCCCATAGATTTTCTATGGGGTTAAGGTCAGGAGAGTTTGCTGGCCAATTAAGAACAGGGATACCATGGTCCTTCAACCAGGTACTGGTAGCTTTGGCACTGTGTGCAGGTGCCAAGTCCTGTTGGAAAATGAAATCTGCATCTCCAAAAAGTTGGTCAGCTGCAGGAAGCATGAAGTGCTCTAAAACTTCCTGGTATGTGGCTGCGTTGACCCTGGCCCTCAGAAAACACAATGGACCAACACCAGCAGATGACATGGCACCCCAAACCATCACTGACTGTGGAAACTTTACACTGGACTTCAAGCAACGTGGATGAAGTGCCTCTCTTCTTTTCCTCCAGACTCTGGGACCTTGATTTCCAAAGGAAATGCAAAATTTACTTTCATCAGAGAACATGACTTTGGACCACTCACCAGCAGTCCAGTCCTGTTTCTCTTTAGCCCAGGCAAGACGCTTCTGACGCTGTCTGTGGTTCAAGAGTGGCTTGACACAAGGAATGCGACAGCAGAAACCCATGTCTTTCATACGTCTGTGTGTGGTGGTTCTTGAAGCACTCACTCCAGCTGCAGTCCACTCTTTGTGAATCTCCCCCACATTTTTGAATGGGTTTTGTTTCACAATCCTCTCCAGGGTGCGGTTATCTCTCTTGCTTGTACACTTTTTTCGACCACATCTTTTCCTTCCCTTTGCCTCTCTATTAATGTGCTTGGACACTGAGCTCTGTGAACAGCCAGCCTCTTTAGCGATGACCTTTTGTGTCTTGCCCTCCTTGTGCAAGGTGTCGATGGTCGTCTTTTGGACAACTGTCAAGTCAGCAGTCTTCCCCATGATTGTGTAGCCTATAGAACTAGACTGAAAGACCATTTAAAGGCTTTTGCAGGTGGTTTGAGTTAATTGGCTGATTAGAGTGTGGCACCAGGGGCCATCAATTTTGAACCTTTTCACAATATTCTAATTTTCTGATATGATGAATTTGAGATTTTCATTTGTTGTCATTTGTAATCATCAAAATTAAACAAAATAAACATCTGAAATATATGAGTTTGTATGTAATGTATGAATATAATATACAAGTTTCACTTTTTAAATGGAATTACTGAAATCAATCTACTTTTTCATGATATTCTAATTTTATGACCAGCACCTGTATAGTAGATGTTCTTTTTCCGGATGGATCATCAAAATAAGTGTTCATCCTAATTGTCAATCATTCTGGTGATATATTTACGTATGGCTGACCTACGTGATCAACCCCATTTTCACCTACCAGTCGTGAGTCTGTTATAGTGGAAAAATTGCAAATCATTTGGAAAGTGAGCTTGTATGAGCGATGTAATGTAAATGGCAACTTTTAAACAGAGCATGCACGAGGAGAAATGGGCTTGTGCATGTTCTTACACGCATTTAAAGGAAAAGTCCCATCATACTCAGAATTCAAACTCCTGAAAGTACTTTAAATATAAAATTATTACATACTGTTCAATAAATGATGTGTTTTTAATTCGGAGTAATTTCATTTGACTGTGCTGAACTGGAGACATCCCATGTCAAAGAAAACTACTGCCACCTACCGGTTTGTGATGTCATGGTGCAATATCGGCTGTTGAGCAAGTCCCAGTGCTGTATCTGGTGTTTGTCACAGCGCTCTATTATCCAAGTCATTTTAAAATGTTGGCTACATATTACGTGGTTTTTCTCTGGCCAGAAGTTTCATGGCAAATCCTCCCTCTTCAAGTGGGCAATCCAACGATGAACCCGCCTTTTCACCTTTCATGAATCGGAAAGGTGAAATAACTTTTTTTTTTTTCACTTTTACCCAATGTATTACAGCATCCAACTGCCATGCACATGGGCATTGTCAGTTTAACTATAGCTCTCGTTAATTTCATTGGTGACGTCCTCTTAAAATCTTAAATAGTTGTTGATGCAGAAGTGTCTAGCAGTTTTGCTTGTAAAGCGGGGAGAATGGTGCTAGGCTTACGACACTGTGACGTCACTGCAGGATGATGTCAGGAGTTGAGGTGTTACTATGGCCGGTCCAGGACTCGGTGATTGCGACTAAAATTATTTAATTTTTTTACTGATTAACACTAAATTCATGAAATCACTGCGAACATATTCGTTTTAGGTATAGATATTGATCCATTGATCATTCCTTGCTGACTGGACATTTCCTTTAGTAGGTGTTCTCTCTTGGGAGTGGATACAAGGTTGTGCATGTGCATTTTTTTTAAAGGGGAGAGGGCGGGTCTTTTCAAAAATCCGCTAAAATCCTCCACTATACTTTTAAATCCATAGTCAGCCGTGTGGTCTACCAGGTAAACTCTAAAATTGGAACACTGTTGCTTTGTGGTGATGCTGATATTATTTTTTTCCCCAACACAGTTAAACATCTGCCCACTGCGAAAAGCCCCAATACCTGCTTCACTGATCATGCCATCACTTGACTGCATGTTTGACCAGCAAACTTCCCCTACATAAACCGCATAGAGAGCCTACTGTCAAAAGAAAGCTGAGAAAAAAAAAATAGACACAAAACTCAAACAGAATATATATGGATCTGTGAAAGTAATGTGGGCTTTTTTTAAAGCCACATAGATGGATACAAATAAAAAATTTCAGTACTGTTTGTGGATCTTATGTATTATCATTTCGGAAAAACCATTTTGGATTTTCGTTGGCCATAGACAAAAAAAGGATATGCCTAATAGGGTTTGCAGGATTTATCCTTTTGCTATCAGTTTGCATAGAAATACAGTTTTGATGCGTTGATTCGTTAGGAGCTAAATAATACCTGCAGGTGTGTTAACAGGCGATATCATTTAGATGTAATATAGTGATTTCACATTCTGGCTGTCTTGTTTAGAGATGTTCTAGGTGGTGCTTGCATATATCAGCAGAAACTAAGGGTAAAACTGAGCTGCAGCGTTTCCATCATTGACTTCATAGTAAAATATGAGATTGCCTTCGTAGAAACATTGGAGAGGGTTGAGTGCGGTGTCACGTTTGGACTTGGGTTCACTGAAATGTGCTTTGCATGCTGATTAGGAGGTAGACTTTGTTAACTTCTTTGTCTGACAGGCCTCTCCAGGCATCTGAGGTGAAGATGCATAACTGTTTACTCACTCTGCCCGGTTCAGTATGATTTATTCATGGCACGCACTGGTGGTTGCATGTCATATTGAGATGCCTTCATCATCACAAAAGGACTTGTCTCTGTTTTTGCCTGTTTTTTTTTTTTCTAATTTGCAACTTTTCAAACTCTTTTTGAACTGTGTGCTCGGAGTTTAGGGGGGAAGATTTTACTTTCAGAGGTGAACTTGACATGAGGTGACATGCGATCTTTTCAGTGTTGAATTTTGTCTAGCTAATGTGATGTTTGTCCCTATAACCTTGCTGCTTCTTGCACTTAATGTTGCCTCCTTTCAGAGCTTTACTTCTATTTATCAAACAGCCATTTGGTTGTTTGAAGGGGAACTTGGTTATGCATTTTGCAGGTAAAATATTTCAAAATAAGATTGTATAATAGAGGCATGTTGAACAAAAAGTAAATACTATTCAAATTCTAAGGCTTTATGTATGATAATATGAATCTGAAAAATTAATGCCAAAAATATGAAAACACTTTTCTTTAGTATTGACAAAATGCAAAATTAGTATATCTAGATACAGCAAAGAAATGTATTTTAGCAGACACAATTAAATGGTTTCATTGTACTTTGGTGTTCCTTCACACAGAACCACAACCTCAAAATTCAGCTAGAAAATTATTTTTCTAGTTATAAAGCAGTTTTTTGATACAATCTGTATTAATTTCTATAACAGCCTTGAATCAAAGGCAACCAGACAATCGTTCATGTTTTATGAATATTTTCCCACACCTATCCAGGTGTCCTTTTCAATATCTGGAGGTTGAGTAAACTGCATTTTCAGATATGCTATTTTGAGGCCTTCCAAGTCAGATGCAAAAGGGATAAGAAAAAATACCTGCCTTGCCCCCCTTGGGTCATTAGGGTGT